CTTATATTTTAAAATGTAATGCTTTCAAAGCACCGACTGATGTTAATTGAGACTGAATTCATTAATCCGTCGTTCCATTCCCTCCTTTTATCTCTAAATAAACGTATCAAACGCGTATTCGTTTCTTATTTAATTCTGTGATATTTCATCTTTATTCAAGTATTCGAATCGTTAGTAATTTATTATGTAATAACATATCAGCGACATTTTTAACATTGTAAAAATGATCTGCAATTCTCTGTGTTGAGGAGATATATATAAAATAATTGAAAACATCAGCCACCGATTCGGATGTCATGTGCTTTGTAAGATCAAATGTACATAGCGTATACATAATAGAGAAAATCGCGGTGGTGTGTAGTATATGAAATCTCACGATTCGCGATTTGCCGAAAAAGGAAACTGATTATGTTTCGAGCCGCGTTGCCGTTCACGGGCACGCGACCATGCCACTTGTTTGTTTCAATCGATTCGATCCGATTAATTAAACCCCCATTCGATTCGCCTAAGGCTTTCAGCCGTGTATGCCTCACACACAACGAATCTCTCGACTTGCCAAGCGACTCGCGGCTGACAATAGTTTCTGCGATCCCTCGATGCAATTGTTTTAAGTAGAAAACTGTCGTCACCGTAGGACAGGACTTATAAGTCGTCGAAAAGAAAGTATTCGAAATAAAAAAAAAAAAAAAAAAAAAGAGGAGGAATGAAAATGCGCTCGAACGAATTGTTTCCCCCCTGCCCCCCACTTGAAATCTGTATAAGGTATGTTCGTCACGTTGTTTAGAGCTATTTATCGATTCTAAATCCAAAGCGGAAAGTCGCACACTGAAACGAGATATTTTTGCGGTGCAAAATTGTCGCAAACCTTCCACGTTTGCAAATGAAAACTCAGTTCCTCTGCGACGTGTTGAGATATACGCGAGATTTGGAGCCTAAATCGTTGTACGATTGTTTATATAGAACAAGTTTATATTATATAGAACGATGCGAAAGAAAAGAAAAAAAAAATGTTAAGTGTGCTTGTAAGTGTGCTGTATGATGATTTCCGGCGTTTACGATATTCGTTTGCGGTCACGCTGAATAAGTCTTGTCTTACACGTTCGCACACATTCTACTCTGGACCACCAAAAAGAAATACACACTCACGTATATGTATTTCTTCTCCAAGCGGCACTTCTATAATGAAAAACATGCAACGATACAACCGGTCTATATTTAACGCAAGTTTTAGCATTAAGTTTTTAAAAGTTAGCGTTGTTAACAGGTGCCATTTTTGTGCCATCGCTTTCCTCCTTCTCAAGCAGATGAACATAAAGATTATTCGTTGTTAAATTCTGTAATAAGTTGGGACAACGATTCCATTGATAGATTTCTCATTGATTCGCTGAGGAAAGAAAACAATCGGACGATCTCGCGGAATGAAAAGAAAGAAAAGAAAGAAGAGAAGGAAAAGCAAATAGATCGAATGAAAGCGATGCCTGATTTGAAGCGTGCATAACTTAAGGATCGCGCAACTTCTCGAGAAGAGAAACGCGAGACAAACGAGACAAAAAGGAAGCATTTTAGGCAAGACGTGTCGGAGTACATAGACTTCTCATGAAAGTAGAGCCAATGGAGAAGAAACTAATCGGGCGGAAAGCGATGCTGCTTCAGTCATCCGCGTGAAAGCATACTTGCAATTATAAGGTCCTAAGTAAGAGTGGAAAAGAAGTTTAAAACAAAGCGAGACGAAGCACGTGAAAACGATGAAAGAAAGCCATATTGAAAGGCCTAGGTTGTCGCATTCGTTTGAAAAAAAAAAAAAAAAAAAAAAAAAAACTTTCCTGCAAGAATGCATACAAGAAGTAGCTGTACACTTGCTGTACACTCGTTTGTTAACGCGAATAAATACGCGAATATAAGGGGAAAAAAGTCGATTTGATTTGTATATGTACACGGTGAGCCCGAGGTTCGTGCAAGGACAAGTGCATTTACGCATGAATGAGGAAGAGAAACGCGAGACGATTTCCTGCCGAAATCGATGCTCGTTTCTTTGCTGGTTCATAGTCAGTGGGCGCGAATCAATCAATGGCCGTGTCGCTTCATTCTCGTAAACGCTAATGTCCTCTGCGGCGATCATTGTTATTATACGAACGAACTCAAGACGGCATGGTATACAAGACTAAGAACAAGACCTAAAATGGGGACATAATATTTTATAACTCAACTTTTGTACAGAATAAATAAATACTTGTACTGTGGACCAATATTTCTTTTATTTCATTCGCATGCTTACGACTCGATTTCACTGTAAACTACAGACGAGATATATATAAATAGACCAAGCATCTAAGTAATATAGTAAAAAAAATCACTGGTTTTTTTAGTGCACTCTACGTTTAAACAACGGTGAGTTGAGGAACTACATCACCTAAATCGAAATTGGCGAAGAAATATGATTTTTGAAACCCATTGCAACAGTGTTGTCAAACTACATAATAATATAAAAGCCACTTCAAATATTCTAATAATCTGAAGTTAATTAAAAACAATGACTCTGTAATCTAATTTAAAACAAGAGAAAGCAAGATGAAAAAATATGGCAAAACAGGCACACCAATATATTTATACTACTCGGGCGCAGACCTAAATTAGGGAGAACATCCGACACCCAAGCTTACACACAACTTTCATACTCTAATTTACGTACCATTTTCCTGAAATCGACTGACAATGGCTAGCGACCATTAAAATGTGATTAAAACACGTTTACACAACTAATATTAATAACTGAGAAAAAATACATATAATTTCTATAGAATAATGAAGTATAAAACATTACACGTGCAAGTTAATAATAATGTAATTATAGTGTATTTATTAGGCATTATGATAATAAATTCATAATTTCTGTGATAATAAATTTTTCAAATTAGTGCATAAATATCTTAATAATATTTCAACTCATAATGAATGCAACAATAGAAACGACACAGTTCCACATCTTAACCACACACACACATATGTGGAAAATACGTCGTGCACGATACACTAACACATTGTCAGTCGCTGAGAAATTTTTTATAAAATTACGAACTATAGTCATCGTGCCCAATGTCTTTCACCCACCCAAGTAACACCTGGGCACGTGAGTGAGATCCTGACAATTAACACGATTATTTTATTTTTGCAAATATTTTTATTGAATACATTTTGATTTTATATAAGTAATTACTATAAATGTTTATTTTTGTTAATTATTAAAATCTCGATGTACAAGAAACCCTATCCTAATCTAATACGAGAAATAGAAAATTTTATTATATTACGAAGTAGAATTATTATTTTAGCCATTAAATACATATATCCTTAATAAATTATTATTGAATTTAGTATCAGAATTGTTAAGAATTACTCAGCATGTGAAGTTAAAGAATCAACAAATGAATAGAAAATGTTTCAATAAAAATGAAAGCATATTATATATAACAATGAGGTAGTCAATTGCAAGATTACAATATTTGTACAGGTTAGAATTGAAATTAAGTTTTGAATAACTTTTAACATATGTTATATTTAAATGTTTATATGTTATTATTTCTTTAATTGTTGAAAATTATATGTAATAATTGGTTATATATAATTGGTTATATATATTTGGTTAAATCTTACCTTGAATTAAAGCCAAAAATACACTAATCTTAAAAATTCTTTAACTCACTTTAACTTAAAAATTCAAAACGCAAATTCAAATCTAAGAACTTCTGAGTATTTCTGAATTATACTTCTATCTGAATGATTTTTCTGGATAACACTTTCTTCTTCACAGACAAGATGTGCTTCCTTCCGCCATTATTCCCGCTTCAAAATCGATTTTAAATATCGATTACGTTCGAGAATCGTAGGCAATGAATTTTTCCGTTGGCGATGTAATCTTTAACTAATTAAAACCCAATACGCGCGCATTTTGCATGAAATGTTAACTTAATATTTTGAAACATAAATAGAACATATAACGAAAGCTAAAAATCGTTAACAAATTGTTCCTTTTGATTAGATATTTTTTTCACAATTACTGCAAATTCTCTTAGTTTGGTACTAGTGATGCCATCTATCGGTACTTTGTTGCAAGTACTAATTATTTTTAAAAATTTTTATTTCTGCATTTTTCACTTCAAATAGGGTATAGAAAGAAAACTGGAGATCCAATTAACAAGATACAATTATAAAAGTTTGCAATTCAATTCTCTAAATTAACTTTTTTTCCAAATGAAAATTTATCTGTTTTATGGGATAACAAACACTAGCATATATCTTGCTGTGGCATTGTGAAATGGAGGAACTAATAAACGCTTTATATTCGTATCAAAAAAAATAATTAATTTTAATTATTTACACCAATAATTTGCATTTATTAGGTATATTTCCAAGATGATATTACCAATTACGTTCAAAAACAACTTTGAGTATAAAATACTGAAATAAAAGTTTTTAAAAATAATTAGTACGCCCAACTTACCGACAGATGGCACCGCCATGTCCAAAATGTGACAATTTTCAAAAATTGTAAAGAAAAAGGAACAGTTTTTCAAATTTTGAAATTGTGTCGTACTTTTGAGATACTTAGCTTTCATTTTATCTTTCATTTACATCTCAGACTATTGATAAAAATTTTATTAAAAAAAATTAAATTAAATTTTACTTAGAAAATCGAAAGTCATCGCAAGTAGTGTTCAATTCCTCGTGAACTACAAGAATATTGAAATCAAAGTTTGTGAACATAATCGATAGCATCATCAGACCTCGTCTATGCTGTAAATGTACTCAAAGCTGCAGGAAGTCTCATGAGGTATGTTCCGTCAAGAATAAATTAATTTTAAAACAATCTTTTTAATATAATGTAGTATAATAAAGTATGTTCAAATTAAATATATAAAAAATTATATAATCTATATTTATTTTATGAGTCAAATTTAATTTACAATTGTATAATTTATTTCTTCTTCATAGCTTAATACAAGCTATTTAGTTTTTGTTTGAATTAATGGTATTATAACAACAGCATTTTTTGCTTCTGGTACGCGCCACCATCTCCCAAGCCTGTGTTCTTGACCAATTCCAGCAATAAGTTGAGTGCCATCCGGAGTAAAACACAACGCATTTACAAACCCAGTTAGTTGAATCGAAAATAATGGATTTAATGATCTGAAGGAGTTGCCACATTGCCACAATTTGATAATGCCATTCCCTGATCCTACATTCGACAATTACAATAAACGTATATCTATGATTAAAATTCTCTTATGGATAGATAAATCATATATTTTCAAAGAGGTATTTAATACCTGATGCGACTAGATCTGTATTGAGTAAAGTAGCTATACTCGAAATCCACATTGGTTGATTATTACTTTCATCTCTTCCATGTGCATTCGATACTGAACACAGAGGCTTTTTCTTTAAACAACCCCAAACGCATAATTGTCCATCGTCTCCACAACTAAGAAAATGTTCTTCGTTTATAAGTTTCACGTAATCAATGGTACCACCATGCCCATTGAATATAAGTTGCGATTCCTCTACGATTTTCCAAATTCGTATCGTTCCATCGAAACCGCCGCTAGTGACAGCGCGTTCTCGCGCAAGCGCGTCAATCGACGTAATACCATTTTGATGTCCAAATCTAATAAAGTAATAAAATGTAATTATAACAAGTATTATAGTACATATACATTAAAATAGTTCTGACAGCAATATGCTTACAAAGATTCAACATATGCCATATCGTCTAAATTCCATACTTTAACACTTCTGTCTTCAGAACCAGAATATAAAGTATGTGTATCTTTACGAAAAACTAAACTAGTAACACTATCTTTATGACCCTGTAAGTTTTTTATATGTTTTAAGGTATTTCCACAAAATACTAGAATACATTTTGAACCACTATCTCCTGCTACCTTTAATCATAAAAAATAAATACTTATATATGCTTATGAATGTTAATATATTATATTGAATGAAAATTTATATAATCTTACCAAAAATTTATTATCAGTACTAACTGTCAAACATTGTACACATTTCATCCCATCCTGTGACTTCTTTTTTCCTTTAATGGTTTCTAATTTTATTCTATCCTTTAAAGACCCTAGTAAACAAAATTCATTTATATAAAATTGTCCTTATAATTAATGAATTTTTTTTTCCTTGAAAATAACACACATTTCACTAAGCTACCATCCTTTGAACCAGAATATAAGAATTTTCCATTACTAGAGAGACATAAACATGTAATTGAACTTTTATGTTCTTTACATTTCAGAAAAATTGGTTCATTATAATTGACATAATTTGAAGCTATAGTTTTCCTTAATCTTCCTTTTTCTTCTAAATATTCATCATGTAATCTTCTTGTTACTGCCCCTTCTTCAAATTCTGCTCTATCTTTTTCTATATTTGTAGAAAACTGTATGTTAGAAAGTAAACATAGAGAAATCATTTTATATAGATTTTACCTTCTTCTTCAATTTGTTGAAGATATTTCTTTGCAAGTCTTATACGTTTCTCCTGAGGAGTCTCTTCCTCTTCTTCGCTTTCATATTCCTCATTTCTGTTATATGCAATAACATGATTGAACTAAACGAATCATCTAAAATATGCAATACAAAGTAACAAAATATATAAATACCTCTGATTCTCTTCTGCCAGTTCTTCATCTGTGCTGGCAATACTTTCGTTATCATCAGGTACAGATTTATGCACATTTTTCTTCTTTCTCTTTGCATTAACATGACTATTGAACTATAACATAATTAAATTATTTGTGATTTTTCGTAGTGAATTATATATTATCAATATATTAAGAATCAAGTATAAAAAATGTATTTTTTAAACCTTTCTTTTAGTTCCTCCACTACTTTGTTTATTCCGAATAAAAAATGACATAATTACAAAGTACTTTTGTAAATTTTATCTATCAAATTTTAACCTATTTCAATCACGTGGAGTGATCTATAAATAAGCACTACCAACTTCTATAAACAAGCACTACCAACAATATAGTCAAGAAAGTACTATATTTATTAACTTGGGTAGCGACTGCTACATGAAAAATCGCCAGTTGATTGCACTGTAATGTTAGGTCTATTCTGTAGCTAGTCAGTGGTTAGATTGTTGTATATATTTTTAAAAATTGAAAACTATTAATATATATATTTTAAAAAATTGAAAACCGTTAAATCTTTTATAATTTAATATTTGCGCAAAAAGAAATTATGGCTCAAAAGAAAAGAGTACTTATGATTTGCTTAGGTATGTCTTAAAATGCGAATAAATAACAAAAAAGAATTGTATACCATACAGCTAAAATATGATTTTCATTTTACAGGAAATATTTGTCGTTCACCAATAGCTGAAGCAGTTTTTAGTGATCAAATAAATAAATTAGATTTGAATGAATCATGGGAAGTAGAAAGTGCAGCGCTTATAGGATATCATACAGGTAAAAATCCAGATCACAGAGCTATGTCTACGCTAAGAGAAAAGGGTATCATTAACTATTTTCATAAAGCACGACCAGTAAGTAAATTTGTCATTCTATAAAAGATATCTGATATTCATATTAATATATTTTATTATTGTAGATCATAGAAGATGATTTTATTAAATTTGATTGGATATTTGGAATGGATAATAGTAACATTCAAGAATTAAATAACATGAAACCTAGTAATTGCACTGCTAAAATTGAACTTCTTGGAAAATATGATCCACAGGGAGACATCATTATAAGAGATCCTTATTATGTATATAATTATATTAATACAAAATGATAATTCAAAATTTTTTAACAAAAGCTAAATTAATAAAACTTTTATTTACAGGACAGCAATAATGCTGGATTTCATAAAGCTTATGAACAATGTGTACGAAGTATAAAAGCTTTCTTGGAACAATATAAAGGTATTGTCAAAAGGTCTATTCTACATGTAACGATTCATAAATTAAATTTAAAAAAGTATAATCATAGTAAGTATTTTATTTCTAGATAAAAATTTATAACCAGGACAAAGCTTAGGAACAATTTAAGTGATTGAAATTATTGGAATATTGTATATATATGAAAATACTTAAAAAGACAATAAACAATCATTACAGGATTAAAGTATTGATTTGTTATTACTTATCATTTACAGGTATTCTATAAAATAAATTTTCAATTATTTTTTATATGCAAAATAAACATTCAGTTTCATATTATATTAATATAATATTTATTCTAATTTCTACTAACTTTATAATCGTAAAACTTATTTACTTATACGAGTAATAACTATCTGCAATAAAGTATACATATATCTATTTTACTTTATAAGTTTTCATACATAACCTTAAAAACTGTATAAATATTTTTTTGGACACTGCTTCAAAATTAATAAATAGTAACATGTCTCAAAAAAAGAAAGTGTTAATGGTGTGTTTAGGTATATTAAAAAAACAATAATTATTTATTGAGAGTGATACTATAAGCATATTATCTTTTATTATATCAATATTAAAACTTCTTAGGAAACAGCTGTCGTTCTCCAATAGCAGAAGCAGTATTTTTGGAGGAAATAAAAAAATTAAATCTTCTTGACTATTGGGAAATAGATAGTGCTGCATTGTTACAATACCACGTAGGTAATGGTCCAGAACCTAGAGCTATGTCTACGCTTAGGAAAAGAGGCATTGTATATTATACTCATATAGCAAGACAGGTAATTAATTCTTTTATTTAAAAAAATAAGATAAAACACCTCCTTAAATTTTCAGATAACAAAAGAAGATTTCTACAAATTTGACTGGATATTTGGAATGGATAGTGGTATAGTTTATGATCTATGTCAAATGCAACCAAAAGATAGTCAAGCAAAAATTGAACTTCTTGGAAAATATAATCCCAATGAAGAATTAAATATACGAGATCCATTATTTGTATGTATCGTTATTAATGTTATTATTTAATTTTAATATTATTAAAAATTTAGATATTTTTTTATTAAAATAATAGGATAATAACAGTGCTGGATTTGAAAAGGCATTTGAGCAAGCTACAAAAAGCATAAAAATATTTCTAAAACAACATAAAGGTAATTTTATATATCATGATATTTCATTTATTAAATTATACAAATAATTTATAATTATTTTTTTACAGATACTGTAAGCACATAATTAAAGTAACTGTGATTGCATTATTATATACAATTAAAAAAATTGTCTTTATGCAGTGGGATAGATATAAAATGTAAATATCAAGAATATAAATTATTCTTATTTAATTTTACGCCCACTTACATATACTTCAACAATATTACGATCATCTCCGGAATATATAAATTTTTGAAGTCGTTCTTCCAAGGTACTGCTTTGCAAATTATTCAAAAGCCCATCACTTACATCTATATCTATAACAAGAGCATCAAATTCTTTACCAACTTCGAAATTTCCTATCTGATTATCCATTGCAAGGGCTAAAAAAATATTATGTTAGAGATTTAACTTTATTCAGTAACTTGGTTTAACTCTAAGAACATTACCTGCTGCACCTCCTAAAGTAGCCATGTGAAATACATCTTTATAATTAAGTGCTCTATAATTTTCCTTAATTAGGGATAAATGGCTTGATACTTGTAAAGCTGATTTCATTGCATCTAAAATACTACAACTCTGTCCACCTGATACGTCTACAAAATAAAAATTATTTTATTAAAATGAACTATATACTTATTATGTGATTATTACAAAATTATTAAGTAGAAACAATGTCCTGTGTCAAGTTATACCTGTGCCAAGACCAATCTTGATGCTTTTACTTTTTAGTCTTTGAACATCACAAAGACCACTTTTTAAACATGTATTTGATGAAGGACAATGTACAATTGCTGTACCACGTTCATTTAATAATGCAATTTCATCATCTGAAAGATATATTCCATGTGCTAATACTGTCTGAAAATAGACAAAAATTATTATATTTCTCATATTTTGCATATATATATTTAACATACCTTACATGTAAGAAGTCCAGCTCCATCATATACAGCTGCATATGATGGATATTCAGGAAACATGTTATTTACAGCTTTTATTTCATCTAAATTTTCTGATACATGAGTCTGAAATATTTTACATACATATAAGATATTGTATATATAAAAAATAGTATTATTTTATATCATACCTGTATATGAAGATCTTTTTCTTTTGCTAGTTTTCCTAATTTTTTCATTAATGTCATATCACAGCTTAAGGCAAATCTTGGTGTTATAACTGGTTTTATTAAAGGACTCTACAACAATTATTATATAAATTATTATTAAATAAATTAAAATATAATTAAAATTATTATTATATAATTATTGTATAATATTCAACACTTACATTTAATTTAGTCAGTTCTTTTATAAATTTATTTATATTTATTATAGACTCTTCAGTAGTTTCATAATAATTATCACTACGTGTTATATTCATACTTATTTTCCCAATTAAAGCACGTTGACCCATACTAATCACTGCTTGTCCAAGTATTACAGATGCTTTTGGATAAAGAGCTGCAAAATAACATGCCGTCGTTGTTCCACTCTTTATAGTCTGTTTCTATAATTAAAAAAATAATATAATTATTATTATTTAATCTAGTTTTTGTTTTTGTTGCATTAAACTTACCACAACTGTATTAAATACTTGTTCAGCAAATTTTTCATCTAAGTATTTTTTTTCTAGAGGAAAAGTATAATGTTCCAACCATTCTAGAAGTTCTTTGTCATATCCAACTCCTAAATTAGGAAGTTGAACTGCATGAATATGACAATCAACAAATCCTGGTATTAAAAATTGAGTATTGCTAAGAACAATGACATTTTTATTTTTTTCAACATTTGAGTTTGGATTTATTATTATATTGGATATCTAAACATAAATAAATATATAATTTAACAAATAAAAGATTAATGTCAGGTATAATATCAAATATATTATGAAACAAATAAATAGTGAATTATAAGGAAATATATAGGAAATTATATAGGAAATTAAAAATAAATAAATATTGACTGATAAATACCTTGCCGTTTTTAACGTGTATCATACCACGATCGATGACAATTAATTGTCCAGATTCGTTGGAGTGAATAAATGAACCAATAAATATTTTTTCTTTGGGAGATTGAGACATTGTAAATTTTGTTACTCTACCAAAGTTACCGTACTAGAAATATTTAAGAATAAGTTAAGTCTTACGCAAAATAAATTTTTAATAACAATTTTTTAACAATTTTATAGCAATTTTTTATCTTTTCCCAATATTTAATAAATATATTTATAAGTAAGTTTATTGTATATTTTTTACTTATTTTTTAGTTACTTGTTCTTTGTAAATAATTTATATTTTTCAGATAATATGATCACTTATAAAATATATAGTAACGGAAAACATATCGACATAACAAGCAAGAAAATAAAATTAATACTGCGTTAAGGCTGAACAAATATTTGTATTTATTTTTTATATATTTATCTTTATTATACTTATCTTGTTCATTATACTTAATAATAAAACAGACATGAGCACAAAGAAAGAAAAAAAATCTGAAATTTTGAAAAAATCGGATAAAACGATAGATAGTCATCGAGAATTTTTGGATATGGATACTGATGAAGAAGATTTTGGTCACCAAGGTAAAATAATTTAATATTCTTGAATTTCGGCTAAACTATAAAAAATTAGAAATCTTAATTAAGATTTATTCGTGTTAATAAATTATTGAATTTGTACACATCTCAAAAAAGTGTGTAAAACAACTTTAAATATATTGATGATAATTCTAAATTCTCTTAAGATATCTATAATGCCTTCCGCAATTAGAAGTATAATTTATATCTAATCTAATTGTATTATATTTCAGAATCACCTGACGTAGATGAAGAAATTGTTCCCTCGGAACCTGAAAAGCCTGTATTCTCTGAAGAAGATTTAATTGCTTTAGTAAGAACGTTAATATATATATAACTCCATATTTTTAACATTATAGCACGTGTTGATCGAGGCGGGTTATCAGAATTCATAACAATAAAAGATTGCAAAATATACTCTTTTAATATCTATTTTAATATATATATAGACATATAAAAACGTGTATACAATTGATTATTATTATTTATTACTTTTTATCTAATAAGTGCTTTATAATTGATATAATAGAAAATACTACAAAACTGATTCATAATTTAAATGAAAAAAAAGTTACATGATGCGTTAGTACTCTGTATATCTAATGAAAATTTAATTTAATGCAATGACATCTATGGCGCCATTTTTAAGATCCCTTTACAAAAATAGAAATACTTGTATATACTTTATTGATACTTCTGTTTTTAGATAAATTATGTGAAAGATTTAACGATATATCCTTGCAATGGTATAAGTTGGAACAAACATTCTGATAAAATAATTCAAGAATATTTTAAAAATCCATCATATACAGTATTAACTACATTTTATGATAAAAATGAATTAAACGCCATGTTGGGTATTCCAATATATGCATCTAAAGGATTTACGTATTTCTTAAGATCATCATGGCAAATTTATACCCCAGATAATTTTTTAAAGACCGTTTTATTTGGCAGTATTAGTAATAATATTAAAAGTAATACCCTAAAATTCATGGAAAGTATATACGCACCGATTATGCTTCACAACGAAGATTATGCTTCATGTATCCAAATGAAATATAATAATTTTTTATTTTCATAGCAGTAAAATTTTATAATTTTATTTCTATTTCTTATTATTTCTTTATTATCTTGTACAAATATTAGAATTTACATATTAGAATTACAATTTTCCATAATGAACAGTTTTAAGAAGCGATGTGTTTTCAAATTTACATGAATTTATCATACGTCTAATGGAGGAAATTTATAAACCAATGAGTAGAACTATTTTATATGTGCCAAAGGAACATCTTCTTCAAACATTTTTAGAATCCTCGGATACAAACAATTATTTTTTATTGGGTGCGAATCAAACGACAATAATTTCAGAAGAACATGAAAGAAAACGTAAATTAATCGGCAGATTAGAGAAAATAGTTTGGTTTTGGATTAGACAAATACATAGAGCAACGATGACATCAATAAGAAGACAAGTTAATAATATACAAGATGAAGTTGATTATTGGAATGCAAAGCGTCAGTTTCTCATTAGTTAATTTAATTCTCTTATGTTAACTTATTACACTTTTCCTCGATTAAAAATATCTATCTGTAATCTCTTATAGATTCAAATTTGAATCATTTACATGGTCAGTTTCGTAATACGGAAGTTCAATTGATAATCAATATATTAAAAAACTTACATTCTCCAAGCGCAAATAAATTACAGAAGTTAACTTTGTATATTGATGTAAAATTAGAAGAGGCCCAATCAAATTTGATGTATTTAAACATTCTATTTCGTTTTTGTAAAAATTTAAATATTCTAGAAGATATTGAAAATTCTGTAACAGAAGCATTGCTTCTTATATTATTCATTTGGACAGAATCGCCATTTTATTCTACAAAGTAAGGAAGTTATGTTAAAAAAAATTTAATAAACATATTTAAAATCGTAATATTTTTAGAAGTAATATGGAAATATTATGTCAAGCATTGGGCTCGCAGATAATTGAACAATGTAAAAAGCATATCAAACTGGACATTGCTCTTGGGAATAATCCTGAAATGGGAATACAGATGCTAAAGAAATGTATATTCTGTTGTAACGTTTATAAAACAATTTATGAGGATGTATGTTTTTCATCAAATATAGTGTTTCTCTGTATTAACAGTTTACTAGTAATTTATTCAACATCTCTTGCAGATTATGATAAATGTAACATCTTATATTAATCCGGACAAAAAATGGGATATAAATCAGCAAGAAGTTTTTAGTAAAATTGATATTTTTAAACAGAGATGTTGTGATGTCATTGAAATTTCTAAAGTTTTAATAATATTCGGAAGGTATTTGAAAAAAGAGAAAAACAAATATAAATAAGATAGAAATTAATTCTTATTTTTATGTAATTGAATAGAGACACTGAAATAGGATTAATTGGAGGTCCAAACGGAAGCGAATTTGAAGCGTATTTGCGGGAAGTTGAATCTTTATTTTATGAAAGTTTAAATGAAATTATAATGGCACATGGTATCGTATTCGATGTTACGAGACCTATTTGGTTTCTAAAAATTAAACAATTTAGATATACAGTTTTGCAACTAGAGAATATGGTGATAAATTTAATTAATGATATATTTAAGAGCATAAGAAATATAGAAGAAGGTATCGAGGCAATTTATGCTTTGCAAAAATTTAAGAAAAGAGAAAATTTACGAGAATTATTGCAAAAGAAGTGGATACAGGTATATTAATATTGTACATGTTGATTGACTGCCAAAAAAATTATTTAATAATAAAACAAATTTTAGATATGGAAAATATTTAGTAATGAAATTGAATACTGTTATATTAATACAATTAATCAGTCAAAAAAGGAAACTAGTGTTAACATAAATTTATTATGTATTTTACAATACTTAAAAAATCAGCATTCTATAATCACAAATGTAGTAGACTGGATAGGATATTGTGATTTTGAAAAGTAAGTAAAAAAACATAAATTATTTAAACAGATTTATTGAAATGATAGATTTCCTTCTTTAAATATGTTATTCATTTCTGCTAAACATCTTTTTTATATTTTTTTTCTACAATTCATATCTCTAAAAAGGACGTATCATGCATAATTTCAGGTGTGTTTTACAACAATATGAACATGTATTAGATGTAATTGACAAGCGAAGTAAGATGTTTAACAGTTACAGTACAAATGAAACGCAGTAATGCAAAGTTTTATGTTACGATCGAAGGTAAAAATAATGTGAAAGAAGTAATTTTGAAAGAAGAAACAATGAAGAAATTGATTATAAAAATTTCGTGTCATTGCAATGCACTGAGAACCATCTGTCACTGCATTATCAAAATAATGATATTGCTATACTTTTGGACGGGGTACTGTACTTGTCATTTTTTTACATGTATATGTCTTTTTATTTTAGATTTAAAATAAATAAATTTAATCAATCAAATCAAATTTAAATATTAACTAATCCATTTCACATAATACGGAATGTTTATCTGCTTATTTGATACGAAATATTTATATTAATATTATTAGTCATTAATAATCATTCTGAATTTGTGGTAGACTTACAATACATCATTAATATTTTTCAGGATTGAAGAGTAATTTCATTCTACATTTTTTCTTTGTTTAAAATCTTAAGTAATATAGCATACATAAATCTTTCGAAGATTTGCGTTATATGAATTCCTTTTTATCAATCATCCTGCCTTTTTTTAATAGTGTAAAAATAAGATTTATAATATAATCGGCATAGGATGAAAGAGAAATCTTAGATGGCACTTTACATATTGTGAGGTATTTGAACAGTAACTAAAGTAAATATTATACTTTAGTAATTTACTATACAAAAACGAATTTAGACAGGTTGTCAATCAGAAATAACAATAAATTACATTTTGTTAAATTATTATAAAAATCTTTTGAATAACATATTGTAATTAATATCACATAAAATAAAAAATATGAAATTACAA